GTGGTCACACACCCTAGTACAGGCACTCACCACGGTCAGTGGCAGCCATCAGGAGTTGATTCCCTCCTACTGTGAGTCCTGGGTTTTGACTACATGTTATTAGGCCTTCATGACAAGCACATTCATCTAAGCGATGATTCAGAATACTGATGGCATTCTGCACACTGTTCAGAGCCATGAAGCCCAGCTCCATAGTCCCCGGCCACTTGAAATGCAGCTGGTTCAAACAGACGAGCTGTCGATATAAACTATACAGCAGATATCAAAGGCTTCTTAGCGACGGAGTGCAAAAGATCGCTGTAATTATTTTTATTTCTATCACATGTTGAAATGTCATAACTTGCATGTGTGGAATTAGAATAAGTTATTAGAATTTATTTAATCTATTCATTGAGGTTAATGTTTATCCTTCTAATGCGGCGGTTACTTTTCCAGCTGCATTTGTAAGAGCTATGGATGAAGGCTTAGCATGCCCCCCCAACACACACACAAGGACAGAGGGCCCTCTAGCCTGTTTGATTCTCCTGTTGGAAAGGCCAGGTCACCTCACCTCACCTTGGCTTTGAGGATGGAATTGCCCAGGCAGTGAGCACAGGACTTCCTTGGGGTTGGTGGAGGTCTGGAACTAAACAATGCTATTCGTTTATATAGTATTATGACTGTATTAAGTGTCCCTGATAGTAATTTTAAAAGCTTACAGATTCATTCATTCATCGTGTGTGTGGTGTGTAATTATTTGTGACCACAGGCACCTTTTGAGAGTAGGTTCTCTCCTTCTACCATAGGGATTCCAGGGACTGAATTTAGGTTCTCAGGCTTGGCAACAGGCTCCTTCCCCTGCTGCGCCATTTCCATGGCCCCTTGTGAATTTCTTAAAGCCATTTCTTACCACCACAATTGACACGTGCCACACTGTGCTTCTGTTTGTGGATTCTTGTTTAAAAGGGAAGAGGGTATGATTGCCCACAAACACAGTGTCTCCATAAACGGGGGAAATGGCTATGTGTTGGGCTGAAGAGGATGGCAGGGGTTTGAACTCTTTCTCCTCCCTCATGAGAAATGCTAACAGGTGTCCCCCACCCTACCCCACCCCTGCTCCACTGCGCATTGCTGGAGGCCCTGCCTCTCTCTCCTAGCTAGCTCCTTCATTTCTTCATCTCATTTCACCTGTGCACGTGGCAGTCTGCCCACTCCTCACAGTGTCTGTGGTGTTAAGGAGTCCGTGGTCTTGGCAATTAAAACCAAGAGTCAGGCTTAAGGCGCTTGGCCTCCTGGTACTGAAGAGTAAAGGAAGCTGGTCTTTCATTCCCCAGGTCTCTGGAGTTCTGCTTCT